AAAAAATTCTCCATTTTCTCCCAAATTTCCTTAAAAAAATGGTGAACTGTAGTGCCACAAGAAAAAAAACGAATTGTATTAATCTGAGATGACGTGGCGCAATATTATTGGCTTGATGTAGTGGAATGGGTATCGGGGATAAAAAAATGGTGTATGTGTATGTTTAGCTGAGAAAAAAAATTTCAGAATTTGTTCATTTTGTCGTAACAAATTAAAAAAAAAAAAAAAATCCTTTCTGTAAAAACCACCATGGCAGCGATCGAAGGAGGCGGTGGAGGAACGTTATCGGAAATCTACCAGAGTTCGAGGAAGTTGTTGCTGCGGGCGAGGGATGGGATCGAACGCCTTGAGAGGCTTGAAATCTCCGCCTCCAACGCGAGAGGACTGGACTCTCCCGAGCTCTCCTTCGCCGTCAAAAAGGATATCTCGCAGATTCAATCGCTATGTGCAGAAATGGACCGTCTCTGGCGTTCCATCGCTGCCCGGTCTCAGCGCGATCTTTGGAGAAGGTATGATTATTGATTACTTTTAGATTTTGTACGTTGATGTGTAGATATTGGATGAGGAATTCTGCAAAATTACGTAGTAACAGTGTTTGCGTTGCTTTCTTGGGCTAATTTAATGACTTAATTTCTGTTGTGAATCCTTTTGGATAATCAAGATTAATCTGATGATGGAACGAAGATGGACCCTGGAGTTATTCTACCTAAGAGGTTTTACACAAATGATAATCTAACTGTAAACCTATATTGTTAGATTTATTTTTGTTACTGGGATTTTTGAGTCACCCTCCCAAACGCCGAGGGAAGAAGTAGAATAAATTTAGTAGCAACAGCTTAATCGTTATATCTAGCTACAAAATTCCAATAGAAACAAGAGAAATTTATCATCATAAAGAGGCATTAGTATCAGGGACAAAAATAATAACAAATCTAACTGTCTAACCCGAAAGCATCACTGTTCATAACTAATTAATGCAGCCCTTACAACACATGAAAAATTAAAGAGTAAACACGTCCTGGTATTTACTAAGCCTGCTTAAGGTCCTTACTTCCTTCCAGAAGCCATAGGATAAAATAGAAAAAGTGTCTTGTGTAGATGGGATATATCATAGTAAAGCTGTTAGCTGACATTGTCTCCTTGTCCATCACCAGTACTTGCATACTGATATAGCATCAACAAAGAACCTATTTGAGATAGAATAAGTGACGTGAGATTTTAAGTTAATAGATATTGGAAATGGTCTTTTACGTAGCCCAAGTTACATACATGAATAATCTACCTTTCCTAGGCATATGAAGTTATGAACTACTCTGGGGACTACTAAGATTAGCAGAAGAAGAGCCATCATTTATGCAAAAGAAATTTGCTTGCCATTTCAAGTTTAGAAAAGCTTTAACAGTCAACTGTTTACTTGAGGTTGGACAAGATTTTTCATTGATGTCAAGTGCTTTGTGAAATTGTGAATGCAGATTTAATCCATGTAAAATTGCTGTGTTTATCTGGGATAGATCTTTTGGTTGATTACTAGGGCTAGTCAAAATTCTTCGTGGAAGAGATTCTTGTCTCCCAAGAGTCTCAATGTTTATTAGGAGGTGGGCTCTCTAAAAGATCAAGATTGTAGGTGGCAAGAGGCCTAATTATCAATGCTTATTTTTTGGTTGTGTAGAACATTCATAATGTATCTCTGTACCACAGAGACAATATCTTAAGAGGATATCTTGAGCAAAGTTAATAAAGACATGGTGTAACAACACTTATTCACTAAATTGATGGAAGAACTTTTCAATGCCTTTTGTTTCATTCATTTTGTGGTAAACTAAAGTGGAAAACACTTAACTCCAGAACAGATCTCAACTTGGTGAAATTTTGGTACTGATCTCTATTGCTCTCTGATAGTTCTAGTTATAAACCTCCACTGTTCTATGTACAAAAGCAATTTAGAAAATGGAAAAAGAACAATGATAGCATTAAGACCACTAAAAGAAAGGGTTCGTTCAGTGATGTGAAGGGTTACTTTGTATTTTGGCTCTCAAGTTCAGGTTAAAGAGAAGCTGGTTTGTTTCTCATTTGGCCTTTTTGTGTGTGTGTGTGTGTGTGTGCGCGCTAACCCTCAGAAACCGCATATTCTTAATGTTTGCTTAACCAAAATGCTCTTCTGAATTCATTTTGGGATTTTATTTATTCATTTTCATGGATGATTGGGATCTAGTTGAGATCTCTTTTTTAATGAATTGAATGTGGTTTTGATTTTGGCAAAAATATCTGGTCGTTTGCTCAAAAATTTGGTTTTGATTAAGGGATTAAACTTCTCAACTGTTTCAAACAAATTTTAGTTCAATGGTTCATTATTTTGGAATACTTTTAGAGTGGTCTATTGTAGTTTTAGCTTTTTTCAGTTCCGGAATTTTGGCAGGGACTGTTAATATAAGTTCTGAAGCACATTTTGTTTCTATTTCAAGAATTGTAAAACACGTTTCTCTATTTGTTTTTGACTTCTTCATAATTGCTTGTAATGTACTATTCTTTTTTTTTTTTTTTTGGTGGTCTCTTTTGTTGGAAGAAATAAGTAACTAATCATGACTTAACATAATTTCAACCCTTAATCATTTGTGTGATGATCTTACATCTTTGAGTGAATGTAAATAATGTTAGGAAAGTTGAGCAAGTAGCAGAGGAGGCTGACTCATTGAAAGATAGTCTTGACAAGTACTCCATGAGGAATCAGAAAAGAATGATTGAAGCTAAAGAGAGAGCTGAATTACTTGGAAGAGCTGTATGCAAAATTTTTATTTTTACTATTGCTCTTGGTTGATGAATTTTTTAGGAGGATGACAGTCATGGTATGTTTTAAAAATGTAGTTTAATTCAAAAGGTGATGAGTCCATTTTATCTTGTAGAATGGAGAGTCAGCTCATGTTTTGAGAATTTTTGATGAGGAAGCACAGGCAATGCAATCAGTCCGAAACTCATCAAGGATGTTGGAAGAATCTTTTGCAACTGGAACAGCTATCCTATCCAAATATGCAGAACAAAGGGATCGTCTCAAGGTATAATGATCATGCCATCTATGGGTCCACTGCTACATGGTCATGCATAACATCTGTTCCAGAAGTTCTCTGCTTTCATAACATAAGGTTTATGTTTCTTGGTTATTATGAAGCATTGTTTGTACTCATACTTGTGGTGGTTATTGATTCTTGGCATTGTCACTTGGTCAATTAATCCCAATACATAACCTTTGTAAACGATCTTGTTTGGTTCAGCGAGCACAACGGAAGGCTTTGGATGTCCTTAACACTGTCGGGCTCTCCAACTCTGTACTGAGGCTCATTGAGAGGCGGAACCGGGTCGATAAGTGGATCAAATATATGGGCATGATTTTGACAGTCGTCATTTTATACTTCTTTGTGAGGTGGACTAGATAAAATCCTCTCTGTCAATTCATATGCACTTTCTGTCTGTGACTCGGTGTAAGTATACTTCATTTGCTCTTTTGAGAAAACAAACACAGAATTGTCTACCAACTTGTCTAGAATGCGTAAAATAGATCATGGCTTCTGCATGTTTTTTGCTCTTCAGGGAGGATGAGACTGGGGTAGGTCGGCTTCAATCATCGAACTGGTAATACTAGCCGGGGCGGGAGTCATGTGGAATTGCCACCTTACCCACTACCGTGAGTGGTTTTGGATTTTGCTATTTGTATGTAAGGAGATGAGATGCATTAATCAAAAAGTTTCCAAACAAGATTCTATTTCATATTTCTGAGTATAATGAAAGTTTTAACGTCTTCTATATACGTGGATCATTTTCTCTTATTATATTTTTTCTTTTCCAGAAGCCTCCGATTGCAGTTTTTGCTTTGTGTTATTTATTATCTCCCGTTGTTCCCTTTGAATTATCGTAGAAGAAATGGTAGGTAAGTGTTAACGTCATTTAGGTTAGGTTCTTCAGTGGACCCAATATCAAGCCTAGTATCCAAACTGAAATGTCTAGGCTTGTAAGACTATTGGAAGGGGGCATGATGTAGTTAGATTCTGGTTTGGAGGAAATTTTTAACTAATTTGCATCGTTTCCTTTTATATAGAGGTGGGGGAGGACGCGAACCTATCCATTTTGGATGTTGAAACATTGTGCAAACATAGTTGAGTTTGTTCTGAGCAACCCAAATCCTTAAAAAGCAATCCAAAACCTTGAAAAGCAATATCCAGAATGTTAGAGCAACCCATGTCTTCAAAAAGCCACCATATCCAAAGAAGTGTCATGGTGCCTCATAAACACTTTAGACGAAGTAATATTTTCCTCTAATAATTTTTTTAACTAGTGAAAAAAGAAGTGCTTATAAGCAAGTTGAAAAATAAGCTCTACTAAATAAATGTTAATAGAAAATCAACCTTATTTAGTGGAATCAGTATCAAATAAATAAGTTACCTTGAGTTTTAAGAAATAATTCAAAATATAAGGCTCGTTTAGTTTGAAATTTTGCTATTCTTTAATCAAATCATAAATTTAAGGTAAAATTGTGAAACTTTTTTAAAAAGTTAGGAATATGTATTTCTTATTTGTTATAATCTCTACTAATTTAGCATATGATAAGGAGTCTGTATCCCACACTTCTTCCGAAGGAATATGTTAGTCTTTCATCATCTTTTAATTGAGTAAAAATTCTGACTATTAAGGAATACACTTATTCATAGCTTCTTAAGGAAATGTTTAAATTTTAATTTATTTTTATAGCTTGACAATTATATCCTTTTCTCTTGACCAAATATAACCCAAGATTTCTTATCCAGAAAAATAAAAAAATAAAAAATAAAAAATAAAAAAGAAAAGAGAAACCTAAGATCTTTAGTACTGAGGAATCACTTAAGATTTTGATACCTGAAATATCCGATGATAATAATCACAAAAGGGAGCATGGGTGGAACCACCAAAAAACAAAGGGTGGGGTCTTTTTTATTGAACCCTGACTTTAGACTTTTTTAAGTCTTTACGAAGGGGTTCCTAAGTCCTAATTTTAGATTTTTTTTTCTTTTTTTTTGTAAGTTCTTACAAGGTGATTTAGAGTAGGGCCTTTTTTTTTTTTTTTAACTATTTGGGTCTTATAATCTTTTTATTTCTAATTTTTTGAAACTTGGGGTAAAATCTATAATGCTCAACCCCTTCTATATGTAGTTTTGTGCTTGTAAAGGAGTAGAAAAAGCATACCCTGGGCGGATTCACAAGATAAGGCAGCATCATAAAAGCTACAAGTCAACATCAACTCACTACATTAGCACTGAACTTTGCAAACCATACTCGAGTGGCCTACATCAAACCATATAATGCTTGTTCTAATTGGTGGATCTCGTTTAGTGGAAGATTAAAGATTAGGAGGTGGTTTCAAGCAAACCTCTTATGCTAAATCACTTCTGATAAAGACATCTTTTAATTACATCTATCTAAAACAAATTTCATTTTCAAATAACAACAATAGCATGCAAACTGCAAACCAAGATAAAGTGTGCAATTGGAGTAAAAGTCTCCCCATAGATTATTCCATGTTCGTATTAAAACCGAAAATGACCAAATATGCTTCATGGTGCTCCATAGATCTATCAGAACATTTTTTTTGACTTTGTACACCAGCTAAAGTCATACTAGTAGAATAATCAACTCATCCCAAAAATGATGGACCACTCACATTATTGTGATTCTATTTAAATTATTGTGATTGATTGTAATAATTGTAAATATTAGATTTTTCATTTTAATGATGTTGATTGTTGATTGATTTTGAAAATGTCTATTCTATGAAGACTTGGTACATATAACAACTTAAGAAAGCAGAGAAACCTTTCTCTTTTTTTTCCACAAATCCTGCCTTCTTCTCTTCGCTTTCTAATAGCATGATGTTAGAGCCTCGAATCTTTGTTTCTTAATAACTCCTCCTTATCCTTTGAATTGAATGGGGAGATATTTAATTAAAAAGAAGATTATTCATTGCCATATAACTCATTATCATATATGTATATATATAATAGTTATTATTCTTGATTTTCATACAAAAGTAAAGTCTCAACTTTAAAAACATCATTCTCTAAGTAATATTTTTAAAAACTAACCATTAAATTTAATATTTTGTTCATATCGATTATGTTTCATGTAAATTATATATGTCAATTTTTATATCGATTGAATATCTAATTAATTCATTGATTTTTCAAATTTAATACTATTAAATATACATTAAAAACACATGTTTTTTTTATTGAAAAAATTAACATATATAATTTATATGAATAAAATATTAAAACTTAATGGTTAATTTTTGAAAATATTCATGAAAGGGTGTTGTTTTTAAAGTTAAGGTTTCAAATTTTTGATGAAAATCAGGATGGATGTTGCACTATTCTCTATATATAAACTAATACTTCCAAGATCATAGAGCCTCTCTTCTCCCCCTCTCATAGGTGCTGCCCTCTCTTTTCTTCTTTTCCCTAGCTGCTACAACCTCTCTGTCCCACAGTGGCTAAGGAGGATGAACAAAAGATGAGAGTTTCTCATTTTCTTTAAAGGTTTCTCTCTCAAAGGGTATGTTTTTCTTTTAAGGGTCTTTATTTAGACTTTTTCAATATTTTTATCAAGTTTTGCCGTGGTAGAGAAAGAGATAGCATAGGGATGGCTAAATTTTCTACCACGAAAGTGAGCTGACATATTAGGAGAAACTTTCAAGTGTTATCTATCTACTTTGTAGCTTTAATTTGTGTCCTTACAATGAATAGTTACTTTTGTAATCTACTTTTTTCAATTGTAGTTTTGTAATCTATTAGTTTTAGGTGATTTCTTGTTTGTAATTGCTTAAATGAGTGTTTATCACCTCTTACCATATGGTGTGGATACACCTTTATAACCTGTGGTCCTAAGATTCTATTCAGGAATTATTATGTGTTAGGTAACCCGCAGTTTTCTTCGTCCATGTAATGTCTATTATATGTTTATTTAGAATAAAGATTTATTTATATATAAAATTTATATTTTTATATAAAATTTTAATTATTTATCTTTATATTTTTGATAATTAAAATTTATTTATATTTATTAAAAATAATTATTTTTTATTTAAAAAATTAATGATAAATTTTAATTATTAAAAATAAAAAAAATAAATAATTAAAATTTTATATTAATATAATATATAAAATTTATATGCGAATGGATCTTTTTTCTTTTATTTAACATACCATATATATTTGTCAATGAATCCATAATTATTTTATTAAAAAACAAAAGCATTAATTTGGCCATGTCAAGGCGTTTTCTTGTGGTTTGGGCCTTGAAGAAATAATCAAGCGGAGGAGTTGAAATTACAGTGAATCCGTTGACAAATTCTTCTTAATCAATAAACAGTCAGGTTTAGTCGGTTACCTAGAAGATAAAGACATGGGGGGCACAGGGTTTCTGCAACCGTTGGATGAAAATCAAAAGGTTAAATACCCAATTTGGTCCCCCAACTATCTTATAGATTTTTAATTTGATCCTTAAACTAAAAAATCCCTAATTTAATCTTATTATTTATTAATTGAGTCTCAAGTTCATAATTTCATATAAAATTAATTGACATGTCTTATCATTTATATAACACATAGCCATTAAATAATGGTTTTTTATCATTAAATAATAAATATATTAACTATATTTTAATGAAAGGGTCAGTTTGATATCAAATTGATAAATAATAGAGATCAAATCAAAAAAAAATTTAGTTTAGAAACCAAATTAAGGATTCATATAATAATTAAAGGACTAAATTAGAAATTTAACCAAATCAAAAATTACCTTGTACGCAGCAAAAGGAAATTAAAGAAAAAGGATATATACCTTTTTTTCTGTTTCTGCTGCTAAAGAAAGACGATAGTATTACTACGTGGCAAGTGGCGATTTTGGGGCATACGGGATTAAAAGGCTGACACGTGGGCCTAGGGGCTTGAAGTCTCTGAAACGTGGTGCGACCCACACCCCTTTGAGTTCCCCACGTGGATACCACGTGAAGGTTGCATCCCTTCCTGCGTACTTCTGAAATGTCTAAAACATCCTTGGGGTTTACTAGTCACAATTATTATATCCGTGGACTTATCACAATTAGTGGAAGTATCATTTTTACCTCTTTTCTCATTTTTTTCAAATTAAATATATTGTAAATATTTTAAATTTTAAATTAAAGATCTCTTTGATGCAGCAGTTTAGAGGTAGTAATTATCAGATATTTTTCAAATTACTATATAGTAAATTTATTCATTTTTAAACTATAATAAACTAAGTGTTTAATGTAAATTTTTTTATTTAGTAAATTGAGATTAATGGATAATTATTAAAGTTCAAATTAATAGTGGATTAAAAATGTGAGAATTTAAAATAATTTTTTATACTAAACCAGTAGCTGAGTAAAATTTTTCAACTTTATTAACAAATTTATCTATTTAAATTATTTCGTTTTTAACATGGTCTATAATTACTAATTATCTACTTATTTCAACTCCTTTGTTTCTCTTAAATAACATTAAATAATTATTGTATTTTTATTTTTTTACATTAACTTATCATTGAAAAATGTATATTAAGTCAATAAATAAAATTTGATAA